AGATCGAATCACCTAGCCTAGCCATGCCGAATCACCTAGCCTAGCCAGGCCGAATCGTCTGGCCTAGTCAAATCGAATCGTCTGGCCTAGTCAGATTGAATCACCTAGCCTAGCCAGGCCGAATCACCTAGCCTAGTCAAATCGAATCGTCTGGCCTAGTCAGATTGAATCACCTAGCCTAGCCAGGCCGAATCACTAAGCCTAGACCCCCTGCGCAGGCACCTCTCCAAGCCGAATCACCTAGCCTAGCCATGCCGAATCGTCTGGCCTAGTCAAATCGAATCGTCTGGCCTAGTCAGATTGAATCACCTAGCCTAGCCAGGCCGAATCACCTAGCCTAGTCAGATCGAATCGTCTGGCCTAGCCAAGTTGAATCACCTAGCCTAGTCAAGCCGAATCACCTAGCCTAGTCAAATCAAATCACCTAGCCTAGCCATGCCAAATCACTAAGCCTAGCCATGCCAAATCACTAAGCCTAGTTAGATTAAATTACCTAGCCTAGGCCTACTCTCTAGATTTCTCTTACCTCTCTCTCACTTTCTAAATATATATATTTCTCTCATACCTTACCTCTACCTAGTAGACTAAAATATATATATATCTATTATCCCTACTATATTAATAGTAGTAACTAGATCTAATTACTATCTAGCTAGCTAGACCCCTAGTTTAAGCCCTCTCTAATATATATCTCTACTATATGAAATTCACGAAACACTAACTTCTAAGAATTTTTAAAAATTCTAGACTTAATATTACTAAGTATGCTATATATTATTATACTAGTAAAAACTAGGCCTATCTACTAAAAATAATTATTATTAGTCAGCAGGTAATAAATTTTAAGCTACCTTTTTAGAATTTTTAAAAAATCAGGAATTATGCTTATCTAATCAGACTATTATTATTCTATAGCTAAAAGTATCTAGTATTTACTAAAAATAATTTTAATTAGTTATCTAGTACTAGACCCCTAGTGAATATTAAGAATTAATTTTTCTTCTAGTTTCTGCCTAAATTCTCAGGCTATACTAGCCTACTAGATGCCTTAGGCACTGATCCATACTAGATGGTGGCCTAAAAGGGTATAGGCTTCCCGCAGATAGCGGTCTTGGCAGACCCCAACAAAAAATTTCGACCTTACCCCTACCCCCCTAGTTCAACCACCTTCCTAGTGATTAATCTAGAATCTAATATTAGAATCTAATAGACTAGCTAGTTAGAATCATAAATCATTTTAAATCATCAAAAAATATGAAGAATTGATAAAGATAAGGGGGGGTGATGACTTACCCTGGTCACCCCCCCCCCTGCCAACCCTAGGATTTGTATGATCACCCCCCCCCCTGATGAGACATTATAGTGTTAGGTTAGGGGGTTTCTCTTCTACTACCCCTCCCCCTATCTATAGATATATAGTTTCTAAGGCACCTAGGCACTAATAGAATTTATAAGCCTAGTTAGTAGTAAGATAACTGGATAGAGAGAGAATGAAATATTTACTTACTAGATTCTAGGTAATAGCCTACTACTATCTATTACTATTAGATAGATCTCTCTACTAGATTATTTAAACCCCTAGATCTAATACCTAATAGTGGTTATACTTTATACTCTTCTATTCTATAGAGATTATATTTATTCTCTCTCTCTTTACTACTCTCTTTACTATCTTTAAATTACTAATCTAATACTTAATACTAATTATCTAAATCCTTATACTGCTAACTTAATTACTATAATATTAATTATATTAACTATATCTTTACTTATACTTTCTACTCTATAGAGATTAGAATTATTCTTTTATCTATTCTCTTAAACTTATATATCTACTATCTATATTTCTAATCTTTAATATAATTATTTTAATATCTTATATTAACTATATTATCCTTTTCTACTCCTTACTAATTATAATATTTCTTTAACTTTTATATTCTTACTTAATAAAATATTCTTATCTTAGTCCTTTAATATCTTTCTTATTTATCTTAATTATATTTATTTATTATATCCTCTCTCTATCTTAATTATCTATATTCTAATTATATATATTAATAGGATTAAAGATTAGTCTATACTCTCTTCTTTTTCTTAATATATTATATTCTTAAATAATATACTTTACTATTCTATTTATATTACTTATTTACTCTTTATATTCTTCTTCTTATCTACCTACCATCTATATCCTATTATAGTATTATCTATTTATTCTTATTTTATAATACTTCTAAGGTATATTCCTTTCCTTCTCTATATATATATATTCTAATATTATATAACTTACTACTCTTTAATATACTTATTATATATATTCTTATTCTACTTTATCTCTCTTCTAGTGTAACTATTATATATATCTATAGATTATATACTAATTATTAAACTACTAAGGCTAGATAGCTAGGCCTACTCTCTAGATTTCTTTTATCTCTCTCTTACTTTCTAAATATATATATTTCTCTGAAACCTTACCTCTACCTAGTAGACTAAATATATATATATCTACTATCCCTACTAGATTAATGAAAGTTACTAAGTCTAATTACTATCTAGCTAGCTAGGCCCCTAGTCTAAGCCCTCTCTAATATATATCTCTACTATCCAAAATTCACAAAACATTCACTTCTAAGAATTTTTAAAAATTCTAGACTTACTATTACTAGGCATGCTATATATTACTAAACTAGTAAGAACTAGGCCTATCTACTAAAAATAATTATAATTAGTTAGCAGGTAATAAATTTTAAAGTATCTTTTTAGAATTTTTAAAAAATCAGGAATCATGCTTACCTAATCAGACTATTATCATTCTATACTTAAAAGTATCTACTATTTACTAAAAATAATTATAATTAGTTAGCAGGTAATAAATTTTAAAGTATCTTTTTAGAATTTTTAAAAAATCAGGAATCATGCTTACCTAATCAGACTATTATCATTCTATACTTAAAAGTATCTACTATTTACTAAAAATAATTATAATTAGTTATCTAGTACTAGACTACTAGTAAATACTAATTAATTATTCTTCTAAGTTCTGTCTACCTTCCTAGTCATTAATCTAGAATCTAATATTAGAATCTAATAGACTAGCTAGTTAGCATTATAAATCATTTGAAACTATCTAAAAATATTAAGATTTGACTAAGATAGGGGGGGGTACTAAGTTACCTAATGTAGTTGCCGGCCGCTACCACCGGCGGATGCCGCCGGCGGGTACTATAGGGAAAAGAATTTTTAAAAATTCTAGACTTAATATTATTTAGCATAGTAGATATCACTAGACTAGTAGAAACTAGATCTATCTACTAAAAATATTTAGAAATAGTAGATATTAAATATATAAAAAGTCATATTTACTAGCTGCAGCCGCCGGAAAATAACTTACTTCTAGGGATTTTTAAAAATTCTAGACTTAATATTATTAGGGATACTAGATATTACTAGACTAGTAGGAACTAGCTCTATCTACTAAAAATACCTAGAATAAGTAGATGCTAAATAAAATATTTATTACTAGCAAGAGCTGCTAAAAACCTATTAACCTCTAAGGATTTTTAAAAATCTAGGGCTAATAGTTACTAGCCCTATAAGATATTAGTAGATAGATAATTAGTAGCACTATCTGCTAAAAATATCTAGAATAACTATATTATACTAGATATCTCAGGTTACCCCCTAAAACCTATAAAAATTTCGAATCCTAAGAGATATCCTTATATTTCTCTCTAGCCTACCAGATCCAGGGTGCATGCTTACCACCATTAGATAGCCCTAAATTAGGGAAATTAAATGATACCTGGATAGCCTGGATCCAATGGCCTAGGGGGGCATGGCAGGCCGATGTAGTCGCCGGACTGGGGGGTCCTGGATCCCATAGGAAAGGGCCCGGCGGGGTGCGACGGAGCTCGCACGTAGGTAAGTAAGATAGGGGTTAGGATTAATAGGCTGATAATTTAGTGGTACTAGGCTGATAATTATTATATAAGAATTATCAGCCTATCCCTGCTAATAATGTCTGGATTTTCCAACTGCAATAGAAAATCAACCAAAATAGATAAAAATAAATAGGAAGTGGTTTGGGATTTGTTAGAGGCCCTGCTATTGGTAGAGGCAAAACAGATATTAGATATTGCTGGTGTGGGTGTTGACACCAACCATGGCTTTCCCCTATAGCTTAGACTCGCCTGAACTTGCACCAAATACAACTCTAGGGATGAAGAAGAATATAGGTTACTATAAGATCATAATGATAGCAGGCTGCAACACCCAACTATAATATATAGTGAGGTGACTGCGATGCAGTAACAGAGGAGGAAAGAAGCAATTATATTGTTTTAATTAATCTATATAAAGTTGATCCTAGGAACAGTCCAAAGGTTTAGGGCAGAATGTGGGCAGGTGGTAAGGGAAAACCAAACCAAATACCTAAGAACCCCAGCAACCAATCAATGGCAGAGGAAACCAAACATACATAGGGTGGTCCGCAGACTAGGGGCCCTCAGTATGTAACATGAAATGTGACATGAACTGCATGATCAAATGTCTATAATATGCATATGCCGCATGCGGGACTCATGCGGTCATGATGGAGTAATGCTTGAGGGTACTGGCTATATTTCTTGCAAGTGACGCAAGTTATTCATGAAACTGACGCAAATATCGCACAGTGATCGCAGGCATAAAACGTCGTAGACTACGGTGCGAGATCTTGATCTTTCCCAGAAGGCCTCGAAATCTACATATTAACTCATTCGAAGATAGCCTGCTACTTCAACTATCCCAAATTTTCCTCAAATTTAACCTAAGAAGGACTCGAACACATCTCTTTGCAAACTAGCGATCATGTTTTTCAACCCTGCTGCTGAGGAGGTGATCGATATCAATACATGGGCCCAGACCATCAAGAGCAACCGCGATGAGTTCAGAAACATTTTCGTCCGTCGCTTCACCCATGTCAAAAATTTAGGATCCTATGTTCTCCATGAGTACCTACATGTGATTGTGGAGGACAATTCCACAGATGAATGGGCTCGTGTGATTGTGGAACGTCAGGCTGCTCCATTCCGTCTACGTAAGTGGAAAGCTAAGGATCAGGTGATTATTCGTCGCTGGTCGGCCTCCAAAGGTTATAAAGATTACGAGGACCTGGAGCCCAATTACTTTCCTTTCAAAGCTATGATGAGCTCTACCAGTTCAGGCCCAATTGTTGGGGATATGCCCCTACCTTTAATAACTCGCTCCTTTCGAAAGGGAAAGTTCAGCGTGGAAAAGCTTGCGGACATACTAGTAGTGTGCCACAATTCGGTACCGAATTATAGTCCTTGGACCTTCAACTGTTACTGGTTCGCGGCAACAGTCTTTGAGTCACCCAGTGTGATACTTGGACGCTTTGTCGATAATCAGTGGAAATATGCCGAGTGGAAAGGGAAAATATCGAAAATAATCTCCGGGGAAAGATGGGAAAAATGTGTACAAGTACGAGGTTTCGTTTTTCAGCTGAAGGATCGGATTCTGACTACATTGTACAGGAAGCTGCTGAATCTTTCAAGAAGGTTCTTCCAAACATTCCTGTCGGCGTCCCTGATGGTGGTAATCCCACAGACCATAGAAACCCCACCGTTTCCCAGGCTGAACAACATACACAATATGGCCAGGAGCTGGAGGGTTATGCTGATATTTTAGTGGATAGGCTGAGAAATGTACAGTCCCATACGGTCCTTGAATAGTGATATAAATGTTGATTGTGAATTACCGAGCAGGAATTAGGAGAGATAACTAAAGATGAAGAGGAACAGATGACAGCTGACATTGCAGATGTGAGACCTCTAACGTTGTGCTTCTTTTCCGCCTTCATTAACGAATTATCTTAGTACACCACATCAATCGATGAGTGTATTGCTGCCGAAACCCGGAGAGATGGGTTTAAAAAATATTCGGAAATTGGCAAGAAAATCGCATATGAACAAGGCTGGAATGTAGGTTTGCTACTGTTGTTAAGTGCTGGGGCACACTAATGATTTCGTTCTATAGCATCGGAATAAGTCTGTCCCTGACGAAGTATTCTTGGTGGGCCCAACTGAAATTCAGCTTTCTCAGTTGGAACTAGCCCTTTTCGCGTTCCTTGGACGGCTTTCTGAATTGGGTTTAGAGGGCCAAAAAGATTGATATTGCTGTTGACCGCCGAATCAGGTCTAGTTGAGGACTTCGACTGAGATCGTCTCGATAAAGGTCTTTTTCCACCTGGGTGGTTTTTTCCCTTTATCTTCATGCAAATGCAGAGACCCTCATCAAAGTTCACAGAAAGATTGATAGTTATTAATCAGATCGAGGCAGAAATGACAAAGAATGAAGCGTCATATACAAACTTAATCCATGGCATAATCTGAACGCTCCGTTGCTGTGCAGCGCTCAACGTCGGACGTAGGTCAGGTCAATACATGCCGAGGGTCCTCAGTGGTAGTCAAGTGGTCCGTCGACCGGGTCAGATTTGGGAAATTCAAATAGGGGTGACGACAGTGGGGAGCCATGCGCGAGGCCTTGCGTCCAAGAGACATAGATAAACAGTAAGATTGGTCATGGATAAGTTATTTAACGAGTTGTTGAAACCGTTGTAATGCAGCCTCGACTAGGCCGCTTGTCCAAACAACTGCCCCGGGTATGATTTCCTAGCCATTGTCGTTGCGAGATCGGATATGATACCATCAAAAACAGTCAGCTCTTCCTTTATGTCCGTAGCCTGTCCAAATGAGCTACAGAAGCTCACCTACTTGATGGGGCTATACTTCGGATTATAAGACCGGTAAGCCGGGACGTTCTGCCGGAGGACAGCCATATTTTCCACGTCTGCGAAAGGCCATTTAAACGCACAATCAAGCTCGTTTGGGATACCAGGAAGGGTCATTACAACATATAAGATGCACGATGAGAGATTACACGCACTGAAGTATGGCATCAGCTCTTCGTCGTGAATGTCACCGTATCTAGTGCGTCGAAGATGACAGCTACACTTGAAGACTGGCTGATCTTGCTAGTGATGGAGCATCAAATAATGATTTATTATGTCCTGTGTGTGATACAAACTCAAAAGACTGCAATTGGTGCAGTAAGTAGAACAAAGTTTTCCATCTATGGCGCAGCAACATCTAATCCCTTTGGAGCAGTTTCTGGGATGCGAAATAACTCGCGGATGATAGTATTGAAAACGTTCAAGGATTGACTAGATCACCGACTAATAAGATATTGCGATATCATAACAAATCTATATGGAATTAGTCCAGTGTCGACCAATGTGACTCTCTACTATCATGAAGAGCTAAGTTTCCGCCTAGCTCCCAAAACCTTTTATATGGTCTATATTCATTTCCGCGGCCATCTAATTCGAACTGGGTTTTAACAGATGAAGCTAGCGGAACGGAACGCGGATCAGGATGCGCTACCACACTAATGCACCACCTGCATGGTCATAACTCACCGGCTTTTAGTGGATGGCATTTTGAATCTGCAAGAGCTTGTCTGGGTCACCACTGAGGCCAATGCAACAGCAGATGAAAAGAGAGCTCTATAGAGACCTGAGACAAGAGAATGAGAGTTATATTTTCTAAGTATATACACCCTGAAGAAGACTATCTGATCAAGGACAAGAGCACAGAGAAGGGCGAAAAGAGCGAGAGAACCAGAAAAAGAGAGAGAGGTAGTGTATTAGTTAAGTGTGGTCTCACATAAGGGGGTTCCCTATCTACAGGCATCTACCCCTTCACTATCCAGTAGTGAGCGCTGAGACTTCAGGCGCCCACATACCTCATCAAACAGCCATCAACAAATGTAGGAGGAATACAACACAGCACTCCAAAGATTAGGTCAAGCTAGACCGCAGGTAGGAGTCATGAGCGAGGTCATGGCCAAACTAGACATCAGTTCACCTAGGGGAAAGATAGCCTCAAAGGAATCAGTATCATTCAAATCAAACTAGCAATTATAAGTAGTAGCTAAGAGCAGCATGGTAAGAGGAGAAACGCCCTCTATCTTCGGCAACGATGCCACCCCGGAGGGTTGAACCCCGAGATAGGCACTGTAGTAAGCAAACTGCAAAACAAAAGAAAAAAATACAGCCATATTTCCCCGCTAACATTGGCAACGACTCCCCAGAGCCGGAAAGTTGGTCAAACCCGGTCATTTAGAGGAAGTAAGAGTCGTAACAAGGCTTCCGTAGGTGAACTTGCGGAAGGATCATTACCAAGTGAGGGCCCTCTGGGTCCAACCTCGCACCCGTGTCTATTGTACCTTGTTGCTTCGGCGGGCCCGCCGTTTGGACGGTCGCCGGGGATGGCCTGACGCCCCCGGACCCGCGCCCGCCGAAGACCCCAACATGAACGCCGTTCTGAAAGTATGAAGTCTGAGTTGATTATCATAATCAGTTAAAACTTTCAACAACGGATCTCTTGGTTCCGGCATCGATGAAGAACGCAGCGAAATGCGATAAGTAATGTAAATTGCAGTATCCAGTGAATCATCGAGTCTTTGAACGCACATTGCCCCCCCTGGTATTTCGGGCTCGGGTGTAAGGTTCACCAGCGCGTCGAATGCCTGATTTGCACACTCTTCTAATAGCCTAGGCGCCACCGGCATATTCCAATCACGCATCCTGACTATCCGCTATATCAAGGCCTCCTCCTGGAATCTCTGAAGTGCTTTATTGACCGGCTTCTTTGCTTTACGAGGCTGACGACCATTTTTGACGCGGTCACGTAGGGTTGTAATTGGAACGCCATATTCACGCGCAATCTTGGTGAAATTTGGTTTTTCTTACGTTGAGCAACCTCGCAGGCCTTAGCCATAATAGATTCATCAAATTTACTAGATTTAGGAGGTGGGAATAGCTTCAAACAAATGAGAATAGGTGGTTTTGATAAGAATCGACGATTACGGTGTGGGTGAGCCTTAGTCACGGATACTAGGGATCCCGACGGGGGTCCGATGACTACTATACCTTTTAAATAATTTTTAACCACCACCTATTCAACCCTATAGATATCGAATCAATATTTCTAATATAGATTAGAATGATCATAATTACTATATATTTTATATAAAAATTATAATTTTATATAAGCATGCTTGTTAGGGGGTCTTAGAGGGGTCCTTGAAGGGGGCCCTGGGGGAAATGGTAAGGGTTAAAACAGTTAAAATTTGTGGTTTAACTAACTCGAAATCAAACTGAATCTAACTATGGTTAGTTAGTATAGGCCTAGCTATGCCTAGCTGGGCCTAGCTGCAGTTTTTTGCGGTGAAACCGCAACCAACCTGGATCAGGTTTGATTTAGTTCTGAGTTCTAAAATTTGGACCCGAAACCGCAGCGGTTCGGTGCCAACTAAGGTTCAACTCGCCCGAACTCGCACCAAATGCAACTCTAAGCATGATTCACAAGATCATTAGACTACTTACTGTCTAAGGTTGCCCCAGACTAGGCCTCATTCCACACTTTTCGTCCCCTGAGTATATTTTAATTTATTTAGATTTAATTAGCTTATATTAGTCAGGCGCTATTAGCTTCAAGCCTTTAAGTAATATGTGGTATATAGCATCATTCTTTATTTATTAGGTCTAATGCTTGCTGCAGCTTGCATGTAAACAGTAATGTATGAGTTTACCTTAGCCTGATGTGTGACTTAGTTACTAGGATATTGCTCTAGTAAAGGAAACTTTAATGTCACTCCACCTTAACTTAATTAACATGTTGAAAAACTGTATGTTAATATCCATAACTCTAGGCCAAAATAAAGAGGATCATAGGAGCTCATATGCTTTACCCACCAGCTTAAGTAGTGTGCCCCTAAAGATAATTATCCTGTCTGAAAACAGCAGGATATGAGATCACAGTGTCACAGAAATGACCATAATTATTCTTAAGAAATTATTATGATGTCATGCTGGATGCTCGAAGGCTGCAGATTAATGGGGTAACACACTCTACATAATGTAGCACAGTAGCATAGAAAATTAGTAATAATAGCTTTTGGGTTTCAGCTCTATGAACGCAGATCAATATTATATAGACCTCAGGTATTATTAAGAACTAAGGGTTAAGCCTATACATTCTAATTAATATATAACATATAAAATTACTATAGTAGACTTGTATTATATTATACTTCTGATTCACTCATGGTAAAGAGACCATCAAATCCCTAGTATCTTCCTATATAAATTATTAGGTCCCATTCTATATTAGTAAGTCGCTGGTTATTCTTCTATAGCTATAGAAGGCCTTTATAGAAGAACTCCTGTGCTAGGTCTGCCTTTTTCTTCATCTATAGTATCAGGTCAACCCTAGGGGCCGGATTAAATAATGCTTAGATTAAGATCTATGCTGTGAAGTCTCTCCAAACCTATAACCATTAGTCATAGTCACCACCACGCTTCATGCTTTACTACCTCCTAGCAGGATCTACTTGGGTCCAATTCGATTTGATTCTCAGAACATTATATGCTCAATATCTCACTATTCCACTCAGCAGTTGCTACCGCTCCCATTCCAAGCATATTCCAGGTTTTAACGCATTTAGTTGGTGGTGTCTTAATGACGCAATTAGTAGACCTGCCAAACTAGCCTTTGCTAATGCTCTATGCATAGGGAGCTAGTTCAACTGAATAGTACTTGGGATCCAATATCAAATATGCAACATTTGAACGTCATGTGGCTAGATTATTTATTCATAGCGCATTCTGGACCTAGGAGAGTTGATTCATATAAGATCTCATGATTACGCTTTTTATACTGGGGAATAATGACGCAACACAACAGGCCCAAACCTTAAGCAAGTAATTCCATACTCACTAAAAAGCACTCACTAAAAACGCTTGCGTTCGTCAAGTAGTTGGAGTGTTCCACAAACATACACATACCATCGCTCTGCCATCGGCCATTACTTTCGCTATTTGAGTTCACCGAGAGCAAGCTTGAGTAGTGATTATAGACAGAGTGATCTACTGTTGTGATTCTTGACTTTCTGCAGGCGGCGCCCCGGGCTCCTGTACGCTTAGGACGAGATGCTATCAGACGAGTTATGTGCAGGGATATTATTCCTGAGGGAAAGTTGCTGTCATAATTGCCCTTCCATCGTACTGACACCGCCATTTAGGGCCTCCATCACTAGACCCATGGCTAATGGAGATTGAACCCTAATATTCTCAACGGTGCAACATATACCACCGTCTTGTGTCATATACTGCCCCAGCTGACGAGATTCCGATTCCTCCCTGAGCGGTTCTGATGGGAGACCGTGGCACTCGCACAAGTGGTCGCGGGCTGGGAGGAGAGGTATTCTAATATTCACTATTATGACTCGATGATATTTGAGTTTCCGGGGTTGGTATGACAATATGGAACGGTCCGTTGCGGCCGGAAACGGAAGGAACCCACCCTATCAATCCAAAGACATGACAGCTAATAGATTTAATTTGCTTTCTATAGCTCCTTAGACCAACTATAGCGCCTGTGACGCCAGAGCACCTATACTTCTTTTTCATATTGGGTGCATCCTCAGCCTCCTACAAACCCGAGGGGGACGTTTTTATTAGAATAGTCTTTCTTTCTTTAAATGCAAAAAGCGTCTTCCGCTCTCTAACTGGCATTATGATGTAGTACAACGACGGAAGAGAAAATGCGTTGCTAAAGTTCATCACCGCCCACCCTCGACAGACGGAGCTCGAAGGCTCGCCCGAGGCAGTTCGTGCTGCGTTTCCTGCTATAGCGGTTCTTCCAAGTTAGTCCATTTCTCGGGGCACGCTCCAACTTGGGTTCGGTAAAACCCAGAAGCTTCTTCTATGATGACGAATGATTGCGACGACGATACTGTCTTGGTCTTATCGATTCTAAAGTAGCATTTGCATGCAGTAACTGTGGACTAAGTTTTTGTCTGTTTTCGGAACTATTAGATATCCACCTGACAATACCAGAAGTTGTCTAATAATTATTATGATGTAACCTAAGACAAACTGTGTAAGTCAGTCGCAGTATAAGAGCTATCAAGGTTGAGTATAAATATGTTCGTATGCTCAGTGTGCTATCACTATCACAAATCCTCCAGCTCCTAGTTCTGCCCCCTTTTCATTGCACTTGCCTGCAGCCCTGATATTCCTTTTTTTGAATCCATAGTCCCACAACAAAAGAATGGCAGCTGTTACCGAAGTACTTCTCAAGCTATATATCTTACATGTCTGTTCTAACTAGCATGCAGAACAATGCCGCTGCCCACACCGGCCCTGAGGGATCTGGTACCAGTCACTTTTTCTATACCACATCTGGTGGAAGGCTGGCATCTTTCATTAAAGGAGACAAGGACCGATACTATAAACAACAGTCAATCACTATTTCAGGTGGATTCACCATTGATACCAAGAAAAAAACTCCTATCAGTGCAATAGGATATATGCTCAGTGATGACAGCCAGGTATGTTCTAGCAAAGAATTCCAAAAATCATTCAGTCATATACTAACCTGCACAGCTTCGCGTATACTATGTCGCAATGGATGGTAAACTGAAAGAGCTCTGCTGGAGCAAGTCCAAGGGATACTTTCCAGGAGCTCTTTCTAAAAAGAATTATGTAGTGGCGGATGCTAGTGGTCTTGCAGCGTCAGTTGATAAAGGACTCATTGAGGTCTACTGCAAGCTGGAGAAGTACGACGACAGTTACGCGCGGATCTGGCTCAGCGACCCGAAAACTGAAACTTGGAATGATGAAACTCTAGTTCAGAGCGACTTGTATTAGCCAGAATGAGAGAGTAAGCCTTGGTGTTGGTTTTCCCCTTTCTTATAAGGTTTTTCCTTCACTGTCACGCGAATGCGAAGGCGTCACTCCATTTCAAGGAACGAGAATATATATGGGAGCTAGAGTCGGATGGAATAATAAACCTCATTTTCCAATGCTATTGCGCACGAGTCATCTCACCGGCGGTCGAAGTAAGCAGGACTGAAGGTGAAACTGCGGTACATAAAGTAGCTTATGGAGCCTTACTTGATAGTTTTTTCCTATTATAATAATAATAACCCCCAAATTGCCTCTACTAGGACTTTGGAAGATCAATAGACGAAGTATCCTCATTATGCCTATAACTTTTCCACCAAGTCAGTAGTACCGCGATGAATGTCAGACAACTAGTCGATTTAAAGCTCTGAGAAAAGCTAAGCATCATCTACTTAATATAGAATAAGAGTAATCTATAGATGCCTCTGCAAGTTGCTGGGTATTCTGCAACTCAGTCATTAGTTCAGGTTATCTTGCTCCCTTCACATTGATCTTACCAGTTGGACTCGGACCTTAGTGGCCAATCTCACATCTAGGCGACAAAACCCCACGACTGCAAGTTCAGTGAGGGCTGGATTGGATTTTAGCGGGTCGCGTATGCCACTCTAATATTAATAATGGTTTTTCCAGTTGAGATGCAACCCACGGCGGGCCGAACCAGCCGAGCCTGCCACTATTACGTAGATGTAAAAGTTAAAGTTCTCAGTTAAACCTAATCTACGAGACGGCTTGGGCGCCCTCCGTCGGCGCCGGCGACGTCCCACCCTGACCATCGCCGGCGGCTGCGGCCGGCTGCAACCCGAACCAGTCACCGCGCTGGATCTCCGTGACGGCCAGCAGCCACGCAGCGCCGCCGGCGCCCCGGGCCCATCGGCCGGTGATCAGTTGACAGGTAAAAAAAATATGGACTCGGATCGCACCAAAGTCCCAGGTTCCCTGGACCACTCCGGGATTGGGAGTCGATGGTAAATTAACCAGTCGACGCAGCAGGATCCAAGCCAGGCCTGGCCGCACTCGAGGTGTCCCTAGAGTTGCATAACCGACCCGCAAAAATCGAATCCAACCCTCACCGAACTCGCAGCGGTGCGGGTTCGGGGGTAAGCCTAGGGAACCGCTTTGGGTTCAGTTAGGCGACCTCAGACCCGATCTGGGTTAGGTAAAAACCATCGGTTACAGTTTCTGTGGTTTTTTAAGTTGGGTTTAACCAACCCACACTGTTTTACCTAGAAATCATTAAATTCTAAATATTCTTAAATAATATTAATAGGGCTATCTAGTGATATTAATATTATTTAAAAATACCTAGTGGTTGCTGAGATATAAGGGAATAATCATTTCTGTTATAGGTTAGTATGAAAGTAGTATAGAGATATATATATAAGGGCACCAAGGTCTGACAGCTACTATATACTTTAAATAATTTTTAACCACCACCCATTCAACCCTATAGATATTGAATTAATATTTCTAATATAGATTAGAATGATTATAATTACTATATATTTTATATAAAAATTATGAATTTATATAAGCATGCTTGGTAAGGGGCCTCAGATGGGGCCCCTAGGGGGAATGGTAAGGGTTAAAATAGTTAAAATTAGCAGTTTAACCAACCTAAAACTAAACCGAATCTAACCATGGTTAGTTAGTATAGACCTAGCTATACCTAGGTAGGCCTAGCAGTGGGTTTTTGCAGTTAAACCGCAACCAAATCACATCAGGTTTGATTTAGCTTCAAGTTCTAAAATTTGGACCCGAAACCACAGCGGTTCAGTGCTAACTAAGGTTGAACTCACCTGAACTCGCACCAAATGCAACTCTAGGTGTCCCCTCGGTGGGGCCAACGGGCCCATCGACTGGATGACATGATGATATAGATAGATCGATCCTGCGGGATCCCGTGACGAGACAGGGCACGGCCAGGGCCAAGGAAAAAAAGGGGTGAAAGCGCCGCCCTGAACCAGGAAAAAGGKGGGGGGGAAGGGGGGGAACATCTGCGGCCCTGACTCGCCCTTAAAAGCCGCGAGCTGGGCCCGCTGGCCCTCGATGCACTGATCTTCTCTTTCCGGTCCTCCCCCATTGTCGCTCTTGGATGCATTGGCCACCCCTTTACTGCCATCTGAGATCTCCCCCCGTCCAGCACAGGATGACCGTGCCACCCCTGTATGACTACCTCCGCGACTACAATGCCATCATCTGCCCGGCGTGTGCGGTGGCAGTCCCCGGCCGCCTGGCGCAGTGACATCTGCAGGAAACCCACCAGCTACAGGAGGCCTGGGACTGTTGTCTGCAGCTGCACGCGCTGCCCCGCAGGGTACAGCCCTGGCAGGACCACACAGACTTCCACCCCTCCCACCTGGCAGTGAGCTGATCCCCCAGCTCTCTATCCACTGCGTCTGGTGCTGCAGTCCCTGACTAACTCTTATCTTTAAATTATTATAACTTCTCTTATTTATCCTTCTTTATAATCCTCTCTCTCTCTTATAAAGCTACTTTAGTTTTATACTTCTTTTTATCTTTTCTTTTTCTTTTATTTTTCTTCTTTCCCTCCTCCTTCTCTATTCTAAGTTATATTATTATTTATATCTTTCTTTCTATCTTTCTTTCTATCTTTCTTTCTATCTTTCTTTCTATCTTTCTTTCTATCTTTCTTTCCATCTTTCTTTCTATCTTTCTTTCCATCTTTCTTTCTATCTTTCTTTCTATCTTTCTTTATACTTATTTACTTTCCTCTATCTTACTTATTTACCTTACTCTATCTTGCTTATTCACTACCTACTATATCTCTAGAATATAAAAGCCCCTTCTCCTCCCTCTTTCTTCTTCTCTTTATCTTCCTTCTTTCTTTTTTTAATTATAATTATGCCTATAACCTCCTTCTTCTTAATAACCTTTCCTTAATAACTTCTCCTGCTTTCTGGCAGTCCTTTGGGTAAGGTCTGTTATTCTTTCTCTACTTTCTCTCCTTTCTCTTCCTTCCTTCCTTTCTTTCTTCCTTTCTTTCTTTATTTTCTTTCTTTCTTTTCTTTCTTTCTTTTCTTTCTTTCTTTTCTTTCTTTCTTTT